GACCATATTTTTTGAATCTGGATATATGTTTTTTTTCTGGACGTAAACAACAAAGCGAACTAAAGAGAACATAAAGAATCATTGCTTATCAACTTTAATTAAATTATATTAATGAAAGTCTGGAACCGGGAATGCAAATTATTTCTACCCATGAATATAATAATATATATATATATATATATATATATATATATATATATATATATATATATATATATATATATATCGTGTTAGACAGTTTTTTCTCGCCAGAATCTATCTTACATATTTATAAGTCTACATTTCGTCCTGGCTTTGAATATTGCTGCCACATTTGTTCTGATGCTCCTGCTATATATTTAGAAATTCTTATAAAATACAACGAAGAATCTGCAATGTTATTAGTCTTGATCTGCTATCTGGACTTCACCCACTTTACCACCGCCATAAATTAGCGTCCCCGTGCCTTTTCTATAAATATTTTCAAGTTAATCGTTCTAATGAATTCTCCTATATTGCACCTAGACTATTAATTTAAGTGAAGTACTAAATTGGCAACAAAGTTACATCATTTTGTTGAAATGGATAGATATGACCGTAAGTCCTATACTAACAGTTTCTTATATCGCACTTCACGCTTGTGGGACTGTCTCTCTTGCATTCTTACTTTCTAGTCAACTTATATCTTCAAAAATTTAAATGCAATGTCAATCGTTAATTCTTCTTTTGAGGGTCAATATTCAGAAGAGACGGCCATTTGTACCAATGTAGAGTGTAAATTAATCGGTCAGTGTTGCAAAGTTTTCTGTTAATTTTCATCTAGGTATTTATTCACTTTTTCCTATTCATTGTTTGAGCAACGCTGTCTTTATCGTTCGATTGATCAATGCTTGCTTCAAAGTCGAAATAATTGCGTATATTATACTGATGCCATCGGGCAGTGTTCGAATCAATTTGAGTCGGCTATTAAAAAAAAAAAAACTTAGTCCCTCAGAAATTTCTTTGTAGTTTTTTTTTTATTTCTTTTCTTCTTGTTAATTATACGTCCAAGTCGATTTGGCTTAGTGGCAAATATTGGTAAAGTAGCCCATAAATTAAAAGATTTTATGATTTCTTAGCTGTGAAACTCATTAATAAGAAATTTGCTTCAATGGAAAAAATTCTAGTTTCTAAACTTAGCAATGGATAAACTCAGTTTCTTGTTGTCTATTTAATACCCTAATTAAATTGATACAAAAATTTACAAGAAGTTATGTCTACTTTTATTCATATGAATTCTTAGTACAATTCTCTATAATATTCCACCAAATTTAGTTAAACTGTACCTTCCATCATAAAAGAACGATTAGAATTTTGAATTTTGATTCAGTTCGATGAGAAATCCATGCGACTTTTCCTTTTGTAAGAAGTTTAACTTGGACCAAAAAGAATCATATCCTAATAATAACAGATTTTTAGAATACATTCCATGTAGAGATAATTCCAATCCCCAAATCTCTGATCGATTTCATAATCCAGCAAAAGGACTTTGCAATTCAAATATGTGATTCAAATGATATGCTCATTGTATAATAAAGTTTTACCGATATTCAAGCAATTCATAATCCCATCAACATAAAATGTATTCTTTCCTCGATAAATTTCACTTAGTTTGACGATGGCTGTTCAGGATCTAGTCATGGTTTTCTTTGTCTGGAGTTCTCGTTATAAATCTACTTGTAATCGACACTGTCTTATCGAAAATAAGAGATTTTTCTGTGCCATTTGATAAAAGAAAGACAAGTGTTAAATGCCGATTGATTTTTGTTTCTCTCAATTCATCTTGAAGCTAATTTCCTATCTTCATAATTTCTCTTAATGCTTGCAAAATTTTAGTGTAGAATCAATAAAAGACAAAGTAAGCTTCAAAAGATTGCAACAGAAATATTTTGTAGCAACTTAATTAAACCTGAAAATCTCTTTTTCTTATTCCTTTCTCAGTAAATCTAACAAACTTTTTTTGATGCCGAAAATCTTTTCCAATCATGACAAACAGTTTGTATTTCATCATATCTATTTAATAAATCTAAAACCCGAATGTCTATATGACTATCAGTGAAAATATCGACAACATTCTGCTAAAATGCTGTTACTATTTACTCTTAGCTGGAAAAGATTTATTGGACGCCATCTTTATTCAGATAATTTCTTGGAAAATGTCTTTGATCTGTTGATATGGTTGAAAAGTTAAAGATAAGTGTATCATCCATGTATCGTCTTTACCTTCAATTGGTATTATGATTTCCAAGAGTGTCAATGAATAACAAAGAAGCGAGACGATACCGGAAATTATATCAAAATTAAAACATTTCAGACATGTGAAAATAGATATTAGTAACTCTTGTATCACTTTTAGCTTCAAATTCTATGGAAGTGTTTCCTGTAATATTTACTTATTCGTAATCATTTTCAATCTATACTTATTTAGCTTAGGAATAAAGGACTCAGCAATGATCTAACTCACGACTGTAGTGAAATGAGATTGCATAGCAATGCTCTTGAGGGGAAATCAAAAAAGACCAGGATTCTAGGAAACAGAAGATGACCATTGACATTGCATTTCAATTTTTGAAGATCGTAATTGACAGGGAAACAGAAAGCTGAAACAACAGGTTTCCACAAGTGAAAAGTGCGAGAGAAGAATTAATTATCATAGGACGTACGGTTCCAACTAGCAATTCCAATAATGAAATTATGGGATGCATAGTTACTAATCTAATACTGCGCTTAAATTCTTGAAGTCGAGGTTTGAGAAACTCGTCAGAACAATTACCGTGAAAATATTTATAGAAACGACAAATGGAAGTTACGTTATGGCTGTTGGAAATTGACTGAAGCCAATATGCCAGATCAGGACCGATAATGTGATTGTTATTTTGATTTTGTCATGAATCTCTAGATATAAAACAGATGCATCATACTAGATGTGGCAGCCATGTTCGATAGACGGACGAATGGCAAACTGATAAATGTGCAAGATAGATTATGACAAGATGAATTATCTAGCATGACATATCAAACTTTCTTACCTAGCAACAGACTTAGTAATTAATTTAATATGATTATTCCACTTGATGTCAGTGGAAAACGTGAAACAGACCAACCAGGAACAGGAAGTTGCTCTCCTAAGGATTAGCATCAACCATGCAATAAAGGAAAGCAAAAAATGTTCTTTAAGATGATAGATTCAAGGTAGTTTCTTTTTTTGATGCATTAAAATTCATACATACATACGTGCCTCCTTCACCACCACGCATATTTGTGCGTGTGTGTCGGTGCCTGAGGAGAGGAATGTCTTGCTATGGAGTAGCGTTTAATAAACCGTTACTACTGCAATGTGTTTGCTACTCCACTATAGTGACCTTATACCAAACTAACAGATGATTCAATGTGCCTCAATTAAAATACAATAAACCAATGTTTACCAGGAAAAAAAAACAGAACTATTTCAGTATAGAACTAATGTATTGTCAGAAATGTTAGAATAATTGTTCAAAGCTATGTAACGACTTGGCTGAATAGATATTTATATGATCATTTAGACGAACAAAAATACTTGAAAATGTTTCAATGGCGATGTGGTAACAGGTTGGAATTAAATATTCTACATAAACAAATAAACAGTTTTTTTTTATTCAAATACGCAATCATCAAATGAAAAGAGATAAAAAAAACTACTCATAAAACTACTCATCATACAAGGCACCATATGACGTCCTTTATATTAGACACTTCCAACCCCTTTCAACCTCTCTCTCTCTCTCTCTCTCTCTCTCTCTATATATATATATATATATATATATATATATATATATATATATGGGGATGTGTCTTTCAAATTTGCGATATTTTTAGGGGAAGAGTGTCTCATATCGGAGATAAAGCCTTTATAGATAGAGACATTGTGGACATAGATGTATATAGATATAGATAGTGTGGACATTGACGTCATAAATGTCACTAGCATTAAGAGTTGATTCCTATGCCCACACTAAATAGATAGATAGATAGATAGATAGATAGATAGATAGATAGATAGATAGATGTTGGCTGTTATTGTTACAGCGTTCCCACTTTCCGGTTGTTGCACCTTCTTAAGGCGTCTATCATTGTTGATCGTCTTCTGGAAATTCCAAACAGAACTTTTTATTCAATCTACCTAGATCATTCTGCTACCCTTAAAATAGGACATCTCATATAAGTTAATTCTTTCTTGCTCCACTGCCTGAGCCAGATATTGAACTTACAACCACCAAGTAAGTATATACATTTAATCAACTTGATCATTGTCCTGTACAAATGTGGCGGAATAAAGATCATTTATCGCCTTTCCTAAACTGAAACGAGTTATTTCCCTTTCGTATAGAGAGCCGAATGAGAACATCAGTCTACCCAGGTGAACTGAATTATAGACTCAGTTCGAAATACCGACAAAATATATTAGTACATGAAAAAGGCCGAAAAGTAGAACAGCCGAAATTTTGTAATTACATCGAATAAGATAAGGATAGTAGTTCGAAAAATCAGTTAATAATAATAATAATTTTAATGATAATAAGTTTAGTTACTTTTTCGAAAGACTAAGGACTGTGTTTTAAGCTTAAAAGAAACAATCGATTTTGTTGCATGCTGACAGACTGAATTTTAATAATAAAGCTATTTGTAGAAAGTAAATACTTTTCTTACTTTTTGTTTGCGTCGATGCTACCGCCATGTGTGTACCTCATTCCTAAAAACTGTGTTCATTAAAAATCACGAATTAACCTTTAACCCAATTAGCATGTATTTATGCAAATTAAAACGAATAAATAAGAGCTAAGGTCAGGTCTTAGTCAAGGTCAGAATAGATTACCGTTAATATAGCATGGAGGACGTGTAATGACCAATGATCTTCTGTTTCTCTGTTAGTTGAGAGTAGAAAACACTGCACGGCTGGCGTATTTGTGGTTGATAGCTCTTGTTTTATTCATTCTGGAGATAAGATGGAGGGAGAAAGAAACCTCGAAAAGAAAGACGCTGTTTCTTTATCTCAAGTCGTCTGGGACGAATAAAGGACAAAGTTTTCTGATTTGAAACCTCTGTGTCCAACTTAGCAAAAAGATTCGGGCGTCGCATCCCGAGCGTCACAACCCCTGCGCGACATCCCGAGCGCCGCAACCCCTACGCGACATCCCGCGCGCCGCAACCCCTACGCGACATCCCGTGCGCCACAACCCCTACGCTACATTCCGTGCGCTGCAACCCCTGCTCTGCATCCTGTGCGCCTTAATTTGATAGAAGCATAGACAGCAGTTTTAGCACTAGTTTTGATTTTTCAATTTAAATAGATGTTTCAATTAAAACTTATTTTAATCAGTATAATTACAATTATTGGATTTTCTGAATGACGTAACGGTTATCGACATGGAAAATCGGATCCGTAGACTGATAACAAATTCCGGCCAGGGTTTGTTTAATATTTACTTTCGAAAAGGCATACATCCATTTTCCCTTTAGCCAAGGCAAAAGTCGAAGATCGATTAAACACTCTTTAACCTCAGGAGAACAACTGAACTTAATTCAAAACCAGCCCGGAGAGAGAGAGAGAGAGAGAGAGGAGATCTGTTCAAGCTATATTTTTCTAAATGCACTTATTGCATTTAATGATATACGTGCAATATATGTAGTGCATAGTACGTTGTAAGATTTTTTTAAAAAATGATTAGTTCTCGCCATTTCAATAACAAGTTTTGTCATATGTGGGCTTTAATAAACACATCAACACTTTCATTCATTCTGATGATTATATATTTCATAGCATAGCAAATTTTGGAAGTAGCTGTGATAAATCGTTGTATTGTAAAACTGACTCTATTTAAAGTCAGTAGACGTAGGCAAGCCTCCTGCCCACAGACTATTCGGCTAAACCCCTTCATAGCTTTAGTCATAAGCATTAAAAATTGATAATTCCAACAATGAGTTTTGGAAATTTTTACCTAAATTTAATTTACTGCTTTATATTTACCTTGGTAAAGTGAATTTGATTCTTTTTTTTTTTTTTTTTTTTGCTACAACTAAAAAAAACAAAACCAGCCTCTATTTAAGAACCACAAGATAAATGCGTTGATAGGAGGAGTGAAATGTTGAAGATTCTATTATCTCACTTGTGTATAGTGGTGTGTGCTTTTGTGTGTGCACGCATGCGTGTCAGACCAAAATAAACAGATTCCGGAAATTCTTTTTAATGTGCATTATTAACATTTCCGTTTTGAATCTATCGTGTACTTCTTAGGAATCTAGTTCTTATCAATAAGTCTGGAGGTTGAAATGACTACAAAAGCCCTTTCAGCGCAAATAGATATTATTTGTATATGAATTGTAACCCCCCTCGCAGTTACTCTTGGCCTCTCTGTCTACTCAATCAGTTTCTTATGTTTCCATTATCAAAATATCTTTTCATCGCACTTTCTATCCTCCTCTTCTTTTCTCTTTTATTATCTCACACACTGACACTCTCTCTCTCTCTCTCTTTCTTTCTTCTTTCTTTTCTTTTTTTATCTATCTTTCTATTTATCTCAACCTGTTTCCATCTATCTGTTTATCTATGTCTGTTTATATTCATTAATTTCTACATATCGATATCTATATAAATCTATCTTTTAATATTCCATCTATCTCAGTGGGTTCATATCTATCTATCTACCTACCTACCTATCTATCTATCTATCTATCTATCTATCTATCTATCTATCTATCTATCTATCTATCTATCTGTTTGTCTGTCTGTATGTATGCATGTATGTATGTATGACTGTCTGTTTTGTTGTCGCCCATAAGAAACAAGTATTTGTTCTTTGCCATTGCAGTCGGCTTTTATAACGATAGAAAAACCTTGAAATCGTTATTTTAATGTCAATAAATTTCCCTCCTACTTCGAACGTTGTAAAGTGATATAATTATCTGTATGTTTAGCTCCTAAACGATGAAATTAACTCTATAAAGTATAATTCGAACAACCCTATATTAAGTATGATTGATGTTGTAGTAGCTTCGCAGAATATTTCAGCCAACATCCGCCAAAAATATGACTTGAAGTAATAAATATTCTTTATTGTAAAGAAATAGATTCAAAATTCAACAATGCGATAAATAAAAAATCCAATAATGCAATAAAATGACAGATAAAGCGACAAAGCGAAAATGCATCAACAGGAATAAAAGAAATAATAGAAGTTGTTATAAAAATTTCAATGAATAATAGGATGTGGAATAACTTTATATTAGAAAGAAAATCATATAAGTAATTTATTTCCAGGTTGTGTGATTTCTTAGAGATGTATGGAATGTCGGACGAGACATGAGAAACATTGTGTTAAGATGACAGATAAACAGATCGATTGATATTTTCAAATCTCTCGAAACTTTTCGTTGCAAATCGTAAAGTTCAGAAAGACGTAATTAATTGAAATGTGTTAATAAAAATCTAACAAACTGTTTACAGTAAGAGAAAACGACATTGAAGAATTTCAAACGAAAACTTTTTATTCAGACAACTTCAAGTTGTCAAATGTTGGCTGAAATTTTGAGATGATATACAATTCATAAATTATTTGGTATTCTTCAATAATTTTTTCCGATATGTTCAGAAAAGTTTTAATGCGTGGATCAATAGTGCGTTTCATTTAAAGAAACAAGATTTTTTTTCCTTTTTAATACTGAACGACACTTAGTTAATCATGGACATGCATCTCGCAAAATCAAACGACCATAACGTCTGTCTTAGCAAAATCAATAGAGACAACAACTTAGTCAAATATAATTGTCTGAATAATTAATACCTTATTGAATCTAATTACGTTTAGCATCCAAACTATAAAACTTAGAACTAAATCAAGTGTTGTAATGACCAGTTATATTGTTTAACGTGTAAACTGAGTTTAAATCCCGATTTACTATTTTCTGACCAATGAAATGAATAAAAAACAACATAGTTAAGAGGGGGAGGTAACTGAACTACGGAATACATGCATATGAATAAAAGAATGCAATCGAATGTGTGCGAATTACGTGTTTGGGGATGTCAAACTCATGCAGATGCGCAGACATTTAAGTGTGTATTTTGGTAAGAAACGATGAAAATTGTGACAAAAATTGGAGAATTCAGTACTCAAAAAATACATTAAAGCCAAGAGAAGCAAAGAAAAGTAAGAAGAAACCTACTTGATAAATATGAGGAAATGGAGTAGGACCCTGTATCACAAAGACAAAGACGGATTCTAAACATCAAGTATTATTGAAAACAAAAAAAATAAAAAAGGAAGCTGTGGAGAAGCATGATTTCCATGTTCTGAAGGATACGATAAGCAGAGAGAGGGAGGCAACTTCTACTTCATTACTTTAAAAAAGATCAACTGTGCTTCTATTAATTGTCAGTCAACTTCGAACTGAACACATTTACGGTATCGCGCACAGACCATTTTTGTACTTACCTTTCTATATATTTCTTTGACCATTACCTAACAGTAGTAAGTTTAATGATTTAATATATTGCTTTCCCTTATTTAATATAGAAAATAAATGGACAAAACTAACAAAGCCTCCAACAACCTTAGCTATTGGTGTGTAAGATGAACATACAAATAACTAAGGTTTTCTGAGTTTTCTCAATTGTTTTATATTTAAGAGTATCTTCTGATGCACTAGTGAGTAGTAATGAGTGCTCTGTTACTAACTGAGTGAATTCTATCCCAACTAGGTAACTCACATTAATGACCTTGACTTATCTGTGCTGAGTAAATATGAAGTTCTTTTTACATAATTAATATTTCTCACAGATTTCATCCATAATTCATAATCAACATTTACAGCTTATGAGCTCAGTATACCAATAACATCTTTTAACTCTCTATAATCATTGGCTAATCTCTTTAGGACAAACATCGATATTTACTAATCTGACGCTAGTACGACACAAAACCACATTTAATATGCATCCAGTGAGGGTGGAACTATAGACGTGGCCTTTTCAGGCTATTTAAAATTTCCGAGTTCAGACGAGAAAACAGGGAAGCAAAATGCAAACTAAAAGTGCCAAAAATGAAAGCGACCCGTCTACTAGACATTATCACTCACCACCAATTATAGAAATGGAAATATAATGTAATATCTGTGAAATAATAAACAAAGAGGTATTGTAGCTATGGCAGTATAACTGTGACAGCCATTCCAGTCTGACATCATTTAACCTGTTTTACTAGCATAAAAAAATCTGATAAAGAAAAAGAGATTGCCTGCTTTCCATATGAATTGTGCACCTGAGGAATGACGACGTAGAAGAGATCGGCTGAGATGTAGTGATGACTTAAAAAACAGCATTAATAATGACATCAATTGTCTCATGTTAATGTCTCCATTCAAAATGAAATCCTTTCATGCATATTTTACTAAAAGACGATAGGTGACGAAAAAATGCAGCTAAAATTCTTTGGATACATCATGAGGAAGGAGAGCTTGAAAATATTAATCCACACGAGACATACTGAGGGGGAAAAAAGATAGGGGAAGGCAGCGAGTCGCTTACCTGATGTGTTTCTCTTAATATAGGGAGGAGATCTTAACAAGGAGAGAAACACTTCAAAGTGTCACAAAAGATAGGAATTTTCGGAGATCCTTGATCGCCTGTCCAGAAGAAGACATTCTCGAATCTTCTATAAAAATTAACTTTATCTTCATAATCATCTACCAAAAACTTCTTATCATTCGATTCAAAAGATTTCGATATATATTCATAACTCTAACCCTAACTATAACCCTAACTATGACCCTAACTTTAACCCTAACTATAACCCTAACTATTTGTACATATTGAAATTTTATGTCATGGGTTTTTTTTTAGGTTCCCTGTGAATTTGTGGTATGTGTAGTATTGAATGGTGAGGGATGAGTTTTTGTGGTGAATAAGCAAATAGTAGCGAATGAATGGACCGTGAATCAGTTTACCTAGGTCTGGATAGAAAGTATTGACCAGCTTTCCCCATTTCCTCTTTGGCCTTGTGCCACAATTGTTTTAATTGAAACAATAAATATATATTCATTTATGAATTAAAATTTTTATGGATAAAACATTTTGGATGAAAAAGTTTGTAGAAATAATAATTTTACGTCAGTTGTCCCTTTTTATTTAATTTTATGTAAAGTCAATAAATTGTTTTGAGGGCATTAAATATTTTTACATTTTTTATAAGTCTTTAAAAAAAGTGAATCAGCTAAAATTTTATTTGAAATTTCAACTAAAAACCCGGAAAATAAAGTTTGGAAATAGAAATATTAAAATCAGAATAGATGTTTTAAAATTATCATTTTCGTTCCGACACTTCGGAACGACATTACAGAGGCAAAAATAATACAATAATTAATTAATACATGATATACACTATTAGTCAAAATATAATTAGATAAAGATGGCTGGAGAATAAGAAATATAAATTTAAACAAAAACCAGTAGACCAAAGATTTTTTACAGAAAACTGTAATTTTTTATTATGTAGCGAAAAAATGTAATTAGCATGCATGGAAGATTGTTAAGAAATGATAAAGTTATCTCTTTTTTATAGACTTGCCGCTTTTTCACATATGGAATTGAACGTGCAAATGAAATAGATTTTTATCACTTTTGTTCTCCCATACTTGAACTGCTTTTTGATATGATCGTAAAGTTAAAGTGTATTTTAATCGATCATAGCCCAAATCAAAATAGTTTGAATGACATAACAATATAAAAATTGTCCGCTTTTAAATAGACAATTTGTTTTTACAACTGGATTTTTTCTTGCAATTAAATTTTGCAATTGTTATTTTCTTGCAATTAAATACAAAATCGAAACATCACAGAATTCTATCGTGGTACATATGATATATAAATCAATCTCTTCTGAGTTAAAGTCAGGTCGTATATTACTCTTAAATTCTTCGGTGAAAGGAACAGTTGATATTGCTTTTTCATTTTACTGTAATTTTCGGGAACGTAGCCTTGTGTCAGACTAGATTTCATTTATATTTCTACTTTTAGTATTGTCTTTATCTAATCAGACCACATAATTATTCATCGGCACACCTCTATTTATTTCCACTCGTGATACAACCAATTCACTCATATTGGCCGTATGCAAAGCAAACAGAATAATCATTATAATTTCCACTTGTTCAAACTCTAATACCAGATTTACTGCGACTGCAGGGTGTGATAGATAAATTGTCGCTTTTAGATATTTTCGCGCATGCGCGTTTATTGTGGTTTTGTTGACTGCACAGTATAGTAGGGTCAGTTGGGCACTGACTATGAGTAAAAGAGCACCATGACGCAAAAGCAAACCTGCATGCAAACTCATAAACCCAACCAAAAGTGAACTAGGTAAAATAAGAAAAACGATACTAGAAAGAATTAATTCTGAACTAAGGAAGAAGTTAGGAGTAAACCAATGGAAAAACACAAAAGCAACTACCGACTGGTTCCACAACATAAATAACAAACATAATTGCCAATTTATACAATTAGACATAAAAGAATCTTACCCATCCATAACAGCCCACATGCTAGATAAGGTCATCACCTATACATAAAAAAATAAACACAAGCGAAATCGATATCATTAAACACTCCCGTAAATCACTACTATTCCACAATGAAACGCATGGATAAAGGAAGAAGGGATCTTTGACACTATAATGGGTAGCTTTGACGGTGCCGTGATATGCGAAATCATAGGTATATATTTACTACACGAACAAAATAACCGCCAAAATAACCGCCAG